TGGAAACGTGACTATGATACGGTAACCTTGAAGCAAACTTTAAGTCACAATGGGCTGAGCCTAAATTAGGGTTTATGTTCCTAAAAAGGCCTCTTTGAAAGAATGAGGAATGAGAAAACAGGAATAAGGAATTGAGAACTGGTGGAAATATCATAGACAGATATGAGATGGAACATGAAACACAGATTTTACAAAATACCTAATTATGTAAACAGGGACTTCAGAAAAAGTTAAGAGACTGTCAGAGAAATATTTATGCATTTGGTAAAATCCCTGGTTAAATATTAAGGGATTTCATGAAAATTGTAATGTTCTCTATCAACAGAAAAGTGCTATTGTTGTACAGCAAACATATAAGGTTAAAATTACAAATATCCAAGTCAAGAAAAATATTGCCTAAGTGTTTAAAGGAGATATGAAGGAAAAGTGGGAAGGCAGAGATTGTCTTAAAGGCCTCTTAATTCAAAATTTGAAAATTAGTGCATCGAGTTACACCCGGCATTGAACAGAGATGAATAAATGTCAAAGAAAGACATGTGAAGAATATCACATGCCAAATATGAAAATAATTTAAAATATTATAGTAACAGAAAATGTATTGTAAAGGTTTAAGTAAATAGTTTGCCAAATTGTAGGGAATACAACCTAGAAAAATCACATGAATTATTAAATGTAGGTTTTGTGAGTTTAATGAGTATGTTACACACCCTGTTTTAAAGTATGTCTACAATATGACCAGGTTATAGGATGAAATCAGCATTAAGCAGTTGCACTTAACCTTCATTAATGATGGGGGTTTTGCAAGAGACACCGGTTGAAGAAAGAAGAGATAAATCAGATCAGAACAAAGATAAAACACAAATAAGTAATAGGTTTATTCCCTGCTGAAAAGAAAGAAAACACAATGTTTTGGCTGTGATGCCTTCTTCGGGTGTAAGAAGGGGGCCTCTTACCCTCAGCAGGTGCCTTTACTAACTGGGTTAAAAGAAGGCTCCACAGCCGAAACGTTGTGTTTTCTTTCTTCTCTTTTCAGCAGGGAATCAACCTATTACTTGTTCTTTTGCAGCCTACGCATGCTGGTGCAGCTCCCCACCTGAACTAAAACAGAAATTTACAACGATCAGTTTTATAACAACACATGTCATCAGTAAATGTGGAGCCCAAAACAAGAACAGGGCAGGAACTTGGTCCCTGAGGTATGTAGTCACACAGTCATTTCGGTTTGTCTTCCAGCCATGTGAACTGAAAGATAAATCTGACTACCTGAAACTAAGGGAGAATATAAGGAGAGTAATAGAAGATGACAGAGAGGCTCCAAAACCAAACTCATGACAGCCTAAACCTAAAGAGACTCAGACATAATGAGGGAGAAAACGAATGGCTTCTATCATGAGGGAGCACACTCATAAATCTTTGAAGTTCCTGAAAAGCCTGTGACCCAAAGTGTGCTCTTTCAGGCGATGTATAATATCCCCTGATTCGGTAAAAAGAGCAAAATTTCCTGAACACTGGCCTCATGCAGCACTCTGTTTTTAATCATCACTGTCAATTTACCAGCATGTTTCCAAGTCGTTTGCGCATAATTCATTTAATTTTTGGCCTAACCAAATCAGGCTATGTGATGTAGCACAGTGCAGCCAGTGGCTGGAAATCAAATAGTTTTAGACGCGCTGGTTTAGCCTACCCTTAGCAGACGTTAAGGGTCTTCATTTGTGTACCACAATCTGGATTTGGTGTTCAGCACTGTTCGATTCATGAATAACGACAATTATTTGGAAAGACATAAAGATTGCTTTCCCCTCTACATGTAGAAAATAGAGCAGAGTCCCAAAACGATTACATCTTTCGTAAAATGATCTGCCCTTGTGTTTGCACCCTCCTACTTCTGTTTAACATACCCTCTTCTTTCTCACTATTGGTTTGGTTACTGTAACTTTGTGCTTATGTTAAAAGATGAAACACCATCGCTAACTGAAAATGTTTATGAAATTACAAATCAACCTACAACTTTGAACACGCCTGTAGCAAACATTTGGATGTGAATGAAAAGGTACAAAGAATACTTCTGTCCAAGTCCTGCACATTTTTTTAATCCAGCTCCAGACAGACTCAGTGATCGAAGTCACTGACGAAACAGTAAGAAACAAGTGGTAACAAGTGAGATCAGTATCTTTCATGCTAATGCTTTGTCTAAGAGAGTAGGTACTGCTGTTTCAAAACGTCTCCTCTCTGTATTGTATAACCCCAATTATTGAATCACAATTAGTGATTCGCTCATTTTTCACACAGGTTCATTTTTGTATTCCTTTTAATTAAGCAACACCTCTGTAATATAGATGTACAATCGCATGTGTTCTTTGTTCATTGTGCCCACACCTTATTTGATATTAAGTATCTCTCTCATATGGATAATGAAAGTGGATAACAAAAAATTAGATTCACTATCATGAAATTGGGTGATGATTTGGTGATAAACGGTATCAATTAAGGAAAAAAAAAGTTTTTACAATCACCTGTTATTGTCAGGGACTAGGATACTACAGGGTTAGGGTATTATGATACCCTAATCTGGATTCTGTATTACGATCGCTTCTCTTTCTAAAATATAGCAACAATCTCATAATTATAGTGTAGATATAAAATTACAGATGACTCTAAAATACAACAAAATGTAAAGATTGCTGAAGGAACAAAATACAATTAGGTAATATTCATGAATGGACAGATTTAATGTACATAGTGTTAGATGCAGATAGGAAAATATGGAATCGAAGAGTATGATATTTTGAGCATGAAAAGGCCAACTGAAAATTTTGCAATTTGCATTAACACCACATTTAGACAGACTAAAATGGCAAACAAAAAAAAACGAATTACTGCAGCTGAAGGCATAGACTCTTGAATGGAAGTTACAAATAGGTGTAAAACAGACTTGGAGGGCACTTATTCCAGGTGCTAAGAATCCTCATAAAGGCACTGACAAGGTCAGCCTGATTCAAATCTTTGGGGTCAGCTTGGAACACCAACCACAGGATACACATGGAAAATTAAGAGAAATGTATTTATCTCTGCAGTCAGGAGGAACGACTTTATATATACTACTGTAAGTATATATATTTGGCTAATGCTTTATCCAAAGTGACTTACATTTGCATTCATGAATACAGCTGGATATTTTCTGCACAAATGGTTGTGGGAGTCTGGAACAAGCTACCCAGCCATGTTATTCCATAGAAAGACCGGCTTAGTTTTGTACCAGCAACAAAACTGTAATGGACTCGTCGATCTCTTCTCATGTTCCCGTGAATATTTTCACATAGATACAAACTAAAATTATTCTCAAAAGAATTTTAGAAATAAATTACACATTTTATTTTGTTTTTCTTAAGCTGATATGGATATGCTGGTTGCAGACTCTAGCAATCTGGAAGTGAAGAGTGCACAGGTTACTTACTGGTGATAAAAAATTATTTGCAACTGAATAGACAAAAATCCTTTTCACAGTTTACTTGGCCCCAAATGTCAATTTACTCCTGTGTTGTGATGTACATATTGTATTCTGCTGCATAGATAAATATTAAATGCTTATTTTGTATATCCTAAAGAAATAGCCAAATAAATTTCCTTTAGAAAAGCTAACTGAATGCAGACACATACGAAAAAGAACTAAATATCAGCAAATATGACACATATGGATTCAGAGGCGTCAAAGGATTCAACACCAGTAGCATAATAGTAGCAGTAGCAGTAATTAGCGTATTACAATTCTCACAACATTAACAAATCAAACTAACTTGGATTGCAATACACAACTGCAATGATAAAAACAAATATGCCTCCAGACCTATTGTAACATTCTGTCACATTAGGGAGCTAACACTGGTTCAGAGCTGATCAAGATCATCTGACCTTTGCAGATCATATTTACATTTAGGTCTCTAGAAAACACCTATCCCACCCCAAAAAAAAACTACCAGTGTCTACTGTCAAGAATCTTTGACATGATAATTAAACAATGAACAGAAATCTGTGGAATCACTACAGAGGGGACATGTGCATGCAATTTTATTCAACAAAACTTTTAAATGCTTTAAAATGGGACTTTTACAACCTGATTTGACAACAATCAATTTTTCTAATGTGAAAAATAACGGAAACTACAGCAATAAGTAATTTTGGTTAGGTTGAGACTGGTATTGATTTCGCAATTATTTTTCACATTTTATACGTTTTTAAATTAAATTATATTTCATGCACCCTCATCACAAAGTTCTTTTATTACGGTTTTCTCATTTCAGTTACTGAGACGTCGTGAATTGCACATTCATTTCAGACATGGCTTTAACCCCTTTAAAAATATCGGACAATCCCTGCAATTTAGATTGAAGTAAATATAATTCCAGGAAAGGGTTATTTTTTCTGCAGTTCTATAATTACAGATGTCCTTCTTGTAAAATACTTATGAAAATAGAAATACTGGCGTTTTAAACTCAATTTAGTTTTGAAGTGTTGACGCTGCCTGGTTGATACGAACTACGTTTTGATTGATCTGAAGCGCATATATGTTAATCAGTGGAGTCCAGTGATTAAAAATATAATCTGAAAGCAGAAGTAAAAATTAAACATCCAAAGACAAAGCTGAAAGTCAGACCCGACTGTGTGAATGAACAGGGGCTCCCGCTTACCTTGAAACTACTTGTGATCAAAACAACAAAAAGTTGCTCGGTTTGAAAACTGGGAAATCGCTACAGAAAAAAGAAGTGATATTAGTTTGGACTCTAAACTAATATCACTTTGTACGTGGAGGGCATGAATCAATATCTTGCAGGACTTTAGAAATCACATTATGTATGATATAAATTAGTTCCACTGTGGCGGATGCTTACGGATCCAGGCTTACCAACAAGCCAATGACGAACTCGCCTGTCCCAGTGGGACTGGGCATGACGTATCTAAACTGATCGAATCTGATTGCCTTCCTATTCGGCTAAAAGTATTCAGATGTATAAAATGAGGCACACTGCTCCACATCCAGCAAGAGTGCCCACAGGAGTTAAGAAGAACCACCGGCAACGTTCTGCTGAAGAGGGCGAGCTGGCTTTGCTGGGATAGTTCTGCAGCGTGGAAACCTACCGTCTACTGTGCTTGATTCCAGCACCGCGGACAGCGCCAGCCAAAGACGCCAGAAGACTTTCACTGCTCACCTGTAAGTAGCGCAGTTCATCGATATTCTCTTGCTGCCAAATGACTCTCCAGTCGCAGTTTCCCTAAACCTTTGATACAAAATAAAGAGAAGGTGTAAGGGATCGGTTAAAGATACACCTTCAAATTAAAAAAAAATCCGAATGCAATATTTAAAATTCGACTCGATTGTTTTTTTTATATTTAAGAGTGATGCGTACGTGAAGTTGTTTTAATAGATACATTATACCTTTTAAGGACAATAAAAGCACATGAGCGTAGAAGTGTAGCTTCAAGTGCTGTGCATTACAAAGACTAGCATTTTGACAGAAAGTTCCGACGAGTGTACAGTTACAGTGTACCTATTGTATTTTAATCTTATAGAGTGCAGTTTGCTGATGATACTTTTTTACGTCTAAATACATTTTAAGTGCAACAGCTTTTAGAATAAGAAAATATGAATTGTGCTTTAAATGATGAGCTGGCTACTTGCCAAGCACCTGTCGCTGCCTTTAGAATATCAGCGACTGTTTCTCGTTAAAATAAATATTTTTAAAACTGCTCAGAAAATAAATCTGAGTGGATTGTAATTGTAATGCCTTCCCTTAGAATTATTGGCTAAATTCCGTGCTGAAGCTACTAAATTTGCATTCAGAATATATTCAAATTTACAGAGAAAGATACGTAAGGCTACAGTCAAGTGACAAGAAACAAGCTTAAAACCAAACTAAACGTCTGCTCATTGTCTCTGTTCGTTTTTGTGTAGATTGAAAGCGATGTTACAGAGAAACAGTTCCCAGCTTCTTCTGCTTATAGCCCTGTGCAGTGTGTTATATTCCAGAACAGTGGGTCTACCAGCGCTGGGAACTTATTCGTCTATGAGGTACGACTTTCTAGATATTAACTATTCTTTGAAACAATTGAGTTGTTATTATTAGAGAGAGACAGATGTTAACACCGATTTCGTGTTGTCTAATCGTTCTTTCTTCAGTTGAGTTTTAAGTAATAGCACACAAGCCAGGCGCTATTATGTGCGATTCCGACAGAGAACAGAAGTTTCCCTAAATCGGTGAGCTAAATACTGCATTAGCCTTTCCTGACCTGTAACATAAACCCATACATCTTAAGGACAGAACCAAGTCTGCGATAATGATGAGGAGCAGGACGAAGACTGGTAATAGCTAAATTGCCATTGTTACAGCAGTAAGCTTGACCATACTTTTATTGAAAATACCACAACATAATATTAAATGTTAAATTGTGCCAACAACATAGGCAATTGACAATAAAACAAAAACAAGCAGTGACACTTTAAAATAATCGGTAACTTCAATCTGACGTCTGACAATAGTAGCTGATTTATAGAAAAAGCCGCAAACCGAAGAGTTTAGCACCACTGATTACGGGCAAAATGCTCTTGGCTTTTTGAAGATGACCTTTTAAATGTGCTACATCCGCCTGAATGAATGCACCTCGACGACCTTAAACAGAACGGAGTTAGATTTTAATTACATCGGACAAATTACTGTATATCGTGAACCTTCAACGAACCAAGCCTTACTTGGGAATTTGCTTATTTACTTACATTGGATGCGGTTGGTTAGCAATTAACTAGATATAAAACGACAGGCTACCTGGAAAGTCATTATTCTGTGACACGGTTCGAAATCGTTGTTATTATTAACATTAATTTAAGCGCTTATCCGAGACGAAGTGATTTTAAGTGAAGTGTTTCTCTCTGCTGGTCCGTAGGCTGGGAAACACAGTGGCAATTGAAGGAGACAGCGAGAACGACTGGACGAAGAGTCCATCCAAACACGATTCCGTCCCAGAGAGCTATAAGCTTTACTATGATTTATCAAACGCAATCGCTAGGTACGACGTCTTTAATCTCCATTTATGTTCATATGGCGTACAGTACGTTTTACAGTATTTTTTTGAATGCTTCATGGGTTTCATATCGCTCTATTTGAATCAACGCATCACTACAGATATCCAATATCTTCATCAAAGGCAGCCATGCCACTGTCGAGAAATATGACATGTCTGATTTCGTGCATTAACGACGTAGGGCTTGTATATGGTCTTATGGTTTTGAAACGTGTAGCGTTGAGTTATTTCACTTCAAATCGTAATTTAATTTCAGACCCACACGACACGCCGACGGTCTTTTTACAAGTGGGTACAGCAAGCTTCTTGGCCAGCTATCCGCCCGACGGTACCTGGAGTCTCTAATTGGAAAAAGAGTCAGGTAAAAATGGATTTTATTCCTGGCATAGTTTTAAACACATTTCAATTTCATGACTGGAGTAATTTGTCAGACAGCAAGCTGGTATTCCTAACTAGTTTTTCTTTGTTAGAGCAATATTGTTTAAAACTACATAAGACTGAAAACAATATGCACTTGCGACCACGTTTTAAGAAGATTGCAAAAAAGGTTATTTCAGGTATTTTCAGGTATTTAGTGATTTTTATTGATAAACTGATTTTTTATTGATCTCTGAAATCCTCGGATTTAAGATGCATTTCTTAAGATGCTGTCTTCAACTGGCAAGAGATGAGACAACCAAACATGACTTGAGCAGGCCTATTTATGCACTCCAGTGTAGTTCCCAAAGCTGTAGTATGGGTTTTCCCCAGTTATGGCACTAAATCTAAATAACAATAAGCTTTATAAAGCAAACTAATTTGGTCAAATGCCAAGCGATTGGATAGGCATTGTTAAATATGCTAAAAGAGTCACTGCAGCTCAATTATCTCTCAGGATTTCTAAATTCTTCTTGAGTTACTTCTACAATAGAGGTTTCAATACACAGAGCTGGTCTCATAGAACTTACCACCACCTGTCTGACATGTTGTATGGACATATACATATTTTCCTATTCACGAATGAACTTGTGATAGTGAAGGTCTTGTCTACATATCCACTCACTGTATAAAGGAATGTTTATCATGTCTGATTTGAAGCTGTGTACAAATGACTGCATACTTATGTGTCTGGGCAAAAACCCCACAGAAATTAACTCTATCTGAGGCTTCATCAGTGTGGTGTCATTAACCAGGTGTATACTGTAGATACATATTTATAGGAAAAGTACATGTAGTCAAAAGCTTAGTTGAATATCTTTTTCTTTGTTGATTAAACATAAACAAGGCGAGATACAGAATGCAAACATGGTGTTTCAGTTATTCATGTTGTTTAAATTCAGCTCTTGCACTTTTAAAGATATTGTTCCCAATTAGGTTTTGTATTACATTTTTTGTAGATATCAAGCTTTGAATTGCTGAATTCAAATTTCACAGATTATTACAAGTGCAGAAAATCAATGATACTATTATTTCACCACTATCTTTCTATCATGAACACTGCAGTATATTCCAGGGGCAAGTCAGCCTGTTGTATGTTATTAAATGCACGTCATGCACAGTTTAGAAAGGAGAAGTACTGTATGTTACAGAAAGTAACTTTTAGCATCATCTTGTGACAGCAAGACATTCAGTTTATGTTACATCAATTACATTACTTGTTCCAAAAACCAAAGTAGAAGTCTCCATCTGTCTATCTGACGAACTGAAGAAAAAAATGTATACTCAGAGAGTATGGAGGTGCTGTCCAATAAAAAAAATCAATGAAAATGCTAGAATGATCCATCCTTTCTACTCCAGAATGAATTATTTCTTAACACTTGTCAGCATGTTAGTACATGAGCCTCCCTCAGAACAAGTTATCTTTCTTTCTTAAAAAATAATGATTAAACAGCTAATAATTAGAACATTTTGGAGAACAATCATCTCATGATGACATTACCCCAGAGCTATATTCTAGATCTCTGTTTAGAAAAAGTCTAAAGGAATATCCTCTTGGGTCGAATCACAAGTGGACTCAGAATGTAGATACCCGAGAAATGTACCTTCCCTGAGGGCTTCCATAACATTGGAACAGCAGGGCTCTGAGCCTGGCTAAAAGTTGTTGTGTCTTCTATTTCCTCTCCTAGTAATGACCTGATGGAGGAACAGATGCCAGTCAAGCGCCATTCTGATGCCCTTTTTACAGACAACTACAGCCGTTTCCGAAAACAAATGGCTGTGAAGAAATATCTGAACTCCGTGCTCACAGGGAAGAGAAGGTAAAGGCAGGGATGCCTGAGAGCCCAATAGGTCTTTCTGCACTCTGTAAAAAGGGCAATGCAGCAGCTGCTGGAATACAATGTCAAACAATGTGAATGTATATTATTTAACGATGTCGATTTAAAATGGCATTTGGCATTATTTAAGGTATTTGATTGACATAGTGCCATTAAAACCAATCCTCTAAAAGCAAAATACATCTATACATTTGTTTTGGATTTTTATGCGTTTACTGTTTATTACAGTAGTGTAATTTCATTTTTCCATTCAATACTTCCAAGCATTATTCCATTTTTGGATTTCAACCCATTTGTTTTGTCACTGATAACAGCCAGGAAGATATAAACTCTCCCAACCTTCAGGATGAAGCTGCCATAAGTGAGCCCTCCTTCTCAGAGAGCTACGATGATGTCACAGTAGATGAGCTCCTCAATCACCTCCCATTGGTAGGCTCCCATTACAGTTTGCATCGTACCTAACAATCAAAGGCCCTAAAACACAAGCATGTTATTTCTTTATCTCTCGCCAAAAGTCCGAACTTTCCTTCAGTTTCTGACCCCTGTGGTCAGAAATGTCAGAAAACCTAACTCTCAGGGTCCAGGGCCTTACGTGAATTTTAGGGTACTCTGTCAGTTGACAAATTATTTCTGTTTTGAAGAAAATATTAGCCTTGTCCAGCAATTAGTTAGTTCAGTCATTCGGTGCTTCAATAGAACCTAAAACAAAGGACCAGGGACCAAAATTTCCTATTGTTGATGTAAAAACATTAAACTTTTGGTACATCAGATGGGAAGAAGTGATGAACATGGAAACTGACACAACAGCAGATTTCACAGCAGTTTTTCATAAAGACAAATGAAGACCATTATGCATAGATGCTCTGCCAAAAGCTGCAACTGAGAGCTGTTTGGAAAAAATCTACCATTCAGTAATTCAGTTGGATCGTAATGAATTCTAAAAATGTTTTAGAGGTTATTTAGTGCAACTCACCCTAGCCGAGAGAACAAGAGCCTGACCGTAAGGATGAGGCTGACCAAACATGCCTTCACTTTCATTAGGAATGAGCTGTGGAGCTGCGACAAGGGTATCAGCACCTGGGGTTGACATGAGGGGTGTGCAAAGGGAAGTCCTGAAGACAAGATATATATATGTAGGAGAGGGGAAGTAGGCAAGATTAGGATCTTACCTTCCTCCCAAAGGTGTGCTGTCAAATTCATTTTGTCAGAATAGATGTCCTTTAAAAGTGGTCCACTTTTAGAAAGGTTGGTTTGCTCACAATGTTGTCCTCATTTGATTGGAGAATACAGACTTCTAGTTTAAACCTAGCCTTTATGCGTGGACTTGTACAGTCATATGTTGTACAACACAGACTCCCTTATAAAAAAGAAGGAGTGGGGTAAATTCAGAAATTACAAACTGAAAATAAATTAATCTCTCTGCAGCAGCTGAATAAGAACAAAATGCTTATTGTCTACAAAAGACCTGTTTCTATGGCTGTCTCTTTATAATCTGTGAAAATAGAATTGATCTAAATCTGCCCTTTTGTGTTGTTTCTTTTTCAGACACTCTAAAGAAGGCCTTCCAGAAAGAAGGAGGAGATAATCTGTCATTAACTTGCTGTTTAAATACCATTATAAGAACATCAGTATTAAAACCAAATGAGAAATGTTGTGAAGTTAAGAATTGTGACAAAATTGGTTCTTATATATAAAGTAAATGTTTACACTGTAAATAAACTACTTTGACTCAGAGGTGTTGACCTAAAGCTGTACATACTGTATGTTAGACAAATTATGTGGACTAGTCTTCTGTACATTTTAGTTCAATAAATGCATTAAAATGAGTAGTATACTGGACAATGTACAATCTTATTGTAACATAATAGTAAAAACCACGTATAGGTCAGTTTTTCAGCATTTTGCCACTTTTCTATTGGTCTAAAATAATATTAATAATTATAACTGGGGAGCACCATGAAATTATATGCATGTCCAATTCATATTGTAAATCAGACTACAGATTGTATGAGTCACTCTCTAACCCCATTTCTGTGACTAGATAATACTGAACAAACATTATAACACTGCCAGGCATAATGGCTTGGTTTCAATTCCCTGAAATATTTAAATATACAATGTATGCTAATATTTATACTAAAAAGGAAATACCCAACATCAACATCGAAGTGTACTTTTTACGTTAGAAACACAAAACAATAGGGAAGAAAATGAAATAAAATAAAAAAGGGATTAAAACTAAATTCAAAAGGCTTAAGCACTTTCAAACATACAATGAATTATTGTGCTCTGGAAGTGCACAATCCGAGTTATTTATTCCCAATTTTCCTATGTTTGTGACGAAACACAAGGAGATATACGAAAAATATACACTCCTTTCCGATTCTTTCATGATCCTGTTCCATTACCAAACAGAAGTAATAATACTTTAATAAAATGTTCACATCTTGTTCAATAATTTCAAACCTGAAGTGACCCTAAAAGCCTTTAGGCTCCCTGACTAAGGCTGCAATCCAAAATGCACTATAATTTACAGTTAAAATAGTTTTTTTTCCCTTCATAACCTGTAAAGACATATTTATTCTTTAAGCACTGGCATGTCTTTACACTTTGAACAGTTTAATTGAAACTTTATTGCCTTGTTACTATTGCAAATTAACCCAGATATTAAAGAGACAATTGCTGAAAATGTAATGATTGTTGGAAAAAAAATATGGTTTCACTGCTCCATTTATACCTTTATCTCTTTTTACAAAGTCCCCTTTCTCAGCAGGAGTTCTAGAATCCAATACAGTGACTACAGATTTTCCTATGTAATATGTTTGTTACGTTTTTCCTCACCCACAGCAGTACTCAGAAGTTAGAAGTTAGAACGCATAAATGTTTTACTTTTAGGCACAGCACAGGAGCAGCATTTAGTTCTGACATGAAATAAGATTATATTTATATCATAGATACATAGTCAATGAAGATATAACTTCAAAAGTATGATGTTTAATGCCAAGTTAATGCTATTGAATATTCTCAATAAAACACTATTCCTTCTTTCTTTTCTTCAATTGAATGTAACTTCAAAAAACATGAAACTAGTAATAAAGTTTTATTAGTGCAGAACTATGTTGTTGTTGTTGTTGTTGTTGTTTATTTAATCTGATTCTATGCAAAGGCAAAAGTCTATTAATATTGCTTATTATTATTTCATGAATATAAATGGTTTAGACAACCAGGAGTGAAAGTACAGAGTGAATGTTCTAAGCATCTATAATCTAAAGTTTGACTGACTGTAGCAGAGTAGAGTAGACTGACTGTAGCAGAGTAGCAGACTCTTAGAGTATTATAATATAATCATAATTACAGTATAATTATACAGACTCAAGCTCCCTCAAAACCCTGTACTGTATAAAGTGGTTCGAAAATGGATGGGTATATACTTATAATGCTTGTTATTTTGCTATTTAAATTGAGCAAAATCTTCAAAATGTTCACAAGAATTTAAGGGGAATTACATTATTTCTGACTTGCCAATCCAGCATTGTATCAGCTGACCCATCACGTTTACCAGTCATGCCTGTCAGGTGTACCTCGTCATTTACGGAATTCGATCAGGATGAACTGTTAACTTGAAATGTCTAAACTTTCTGTAGATCACACACAAAATTCCATTCCTGACTAAAGAAGGAGGAAACAGTGAGTCAAAAGGGTAGGAGATGGCAAAATACCTCACATTTTTACACAAGATCAAGATGTGTTTGTCCAAAACAAGGGGTTCTTCAGGCTTTAAATCAGACAGCTCTTCCAAGGGCCAGTCTTTACAGAGCTACAACAATCTCTCCTGCAGCTGGGGCCTCTTCCTCACGCCTGCTCTGCTCATTGACTTGCGCTCTCTGCTCTTACTCTTCACAGTGCAATCGCATCCCACACTCTCTTCAGATTAAATTGAAAGAGCGAGTCCTTTGTCACACTACTGATATATTAACCCCACAAACCACATTGGATGTGCCACCTATCTGAACTCTGCTTGTCTTCGGCCTCAAACGCAGATGCTCGGGACAATCCAGGAACTGTTTCATGTGCACAGTCACCTTGGAGTTGGCGTGTAGCAGTGGCAAGGGCTCTCAGCCAGTTCCCTGCATGCTTAGTCTAGATACCCATTCGTTCTGCACTCATTCCAGCTGTGCAAGATATGCATGAATATAAGGCGGTTTACCAAGGGGTTGACTTGGAATCTTTCATCCCATCCAAGTGAACATTTAGTCCACTTCACACTCAAAAACCAGGGAAAGATACAGAACTGAGTGAACATGTTTAACACAAGAACTGTTAAGTAATTTAAAAGACTGTCAGTCTGTAGAAATGACTAAATGGAGACAATAATTTGACAGTGAATACTGATAATGCTAGATAATAACAAAAGTATCAAAACCATAAAAACTGACATCAATACCAAAATTCTCATTTCTCATACTAGTTAATTTTACTATATATAGAAAGTACACATACTATTTAAAATCCAACTAGTCTGATTCATCTTCAATGATCCCACCAAAACAGAAGATCCAAAATAAAGGGCAATCTATATTTGATCAATACATTCATTTGCAGTGTGTTATTCCACTATTTTAAGGAAACGCTGCGTCAGGAAAAAAAATGAATCTTTTTTCTGTGTGTGTTTTCATGTCCTTGGTTAACTGATCTATAAATCTGCAAACACTGATCTCCAAACACTTGTTTTGACCACCTGGTCAAGTGCAGTTTAGCTGGGTTCCTGTGCGTTGCTCATGTCTTCGTTCGACTGCCAGACAATGCATAGGGTGCACCTCTGGAAGATAGAAGCAGTATACAGGGACCCAACTGAGCTGTCTCGTTCAAGAGCAGCCCAGATCAAGCAATCTGAGAACATGTAAGACAAAATGAACATGCCAAAAGCATGCTTCAGTAGTGCAAGAGTAAACTAGGGGCTGGAGACTGCAATGAAAGGGCTGTTGTGCTCAGGTGCTAATCTGACCTTCGTTGACTTCACTTTAACTGAAAGACAACCATTGATATCACACAACACATTACACTTCCTTTTCTGATGAGATCTACAGTGTTCTGCACAGCGTCTACCAGAAGCAGCAGCAACAGTTAAGGGTGCTGCTTGTCCTTGTGAAGCAGTCACACAGAATCCCATGCAGACTCTGCAGTCTCCAGTGTGTGGCTATTAGAAACTGCTGCAGGAGACTGGTTGGGGCTGAGTCAATAGATTCTTTATTTGAGGGCTAGAGGGGTATCTGGTATTTATTCCGCCTCAGCTCTGATTGACCTAACGGGACCAATTATTCACTTATCAGAAGCATTTCAACATTTTTCCGACATCTGCAGGAGACAGTGATTGAAAGGGACCTGTAAAATCAGAGCGATCAGAGATAAAGAACATGGAAACAGGACCTTCTGAAGCTGAAATGGAGCAGAGATCAAAAAAGACCTGCAGCACAGCAACTCTTTAAGTGAAATGCTAATATGAGCATTTTCTTATTAAATTTCGAAACAGTGTATTTTTATCAGCTGTGGTTTGAGTGTTGTTCAATGGTGTTAGTTAATGTGATTGTACAATCTTATTCTTATCATTATTATAAACAGCTACAACCTAGGCAATGTGCAGTGATGTAGGGAGAAAGGTTTTCTGTAGTCGCTGCATATGACTTCAGAAGCACAGCAAACCAAACTACAAGAACAGTAGCAGAAAGAGAGCCCTCATTATTAGAGGCAGGAAAGGAATTTCCTGTATTATATAGAGTAAAAGAGTGGAAATGTGTTTTTGTTCCAGGATAAGTAGATGATAGGGTGGCCTCTTGAACTTGAAAAACACCTTGTTACTTTGGGACAAATTGTACAGTCAAGCTTATTGTCTTCTAGATGGGAAAACCTGCACGTGCAGAGTGTAAAAAGACTCCACCATGACTCAGTTTGTTTACAAGTGTCAAAATGAAGCATCACGACCGACCTCGAGGTTAGTCACAAATGTCAAAGGGAACGTGCTGGAAGAGGTTCAGAAATTATCAATGGACTCCCAGCGAAATCCCTTTTTAAAGTCAGTGACATGTTTTGTTGACATGCAATTTAATACCAAAAGTACTGGGATACATTCCAGATTTTAGGTGCTATCCTTTGGGTTTCTGTGGATCCTCAACTGTAGATTCATTTGCAACCCGATACAGCTAGATCCTACCAATATGGATAGAGGGTTCAGAGAAGACAGCACTTCAACAAAGAAAGATCCACAGTCCACAGAAACCCACAGTGACAACTGTTGATCAGAAGTGGAAGATGAGGAGAAATACGGAATTCTATCCCAGGAAGGGCACGAATGATTACAGGCCAGACGTGACGAGCAGTAGATGCTGTGGCGAAGCCTTTTATGTTGTGTTAATTAAACATGTTTCTTTTTTATTGGCAAAAAGGCCCAGTAACAGCCAGCTTGACGAAATGGTAAAGTGTCAACTCACATAAAGCTATCCAACAGCCTCTTTTAATGCAAGCACTGTGAATGTAAATGGGAGTTCAAATATTTGTTCATTTGGTCCTGTTGTTGCAAAAGTTTCACAACTGATTCCTGTCCCCACTTTTAGGAGGAAGCAAAAAGCAAAGAAATTATCCGAAGAGGCCGGGGGGGCTAAGAAATCTTTGTCCGGTGCCAGTTTAATCTTAATTTGTCACATCAGATTCTCGTCTCTTCGAAGCCGATGGCAAAACAAACCCAAAAAAAAAGTAAAACTGCATTTTTAGGACTGAAAGATAAGTGAAGGGAAAATGATTGTTCCACGCAGGCTGCTGCTTTTGCTGAGCGCTTGTCAAATCTCAGAGCACAGACAGAAGGCCCTGCTTTGTTGCAGTTGTTTCCAAAATTGCAGACTGGCTTTGCTTGGGAAGCACTGATTCTTTTTTCCCCTTCCAAAGTCGGAGCAATTTGCACTTGCCAACAGCTCATTGCTAGCAGCCCCCCTCCCCAGACCAGCAGAAACATGTTCCTGCAACACGCACACCTGCAAACCTTTAGCACATGCAGAATACAGCTGGATTCTGGATACAGGACTGACACAGAACTAAGTAAACACAGGTGCTCGACTGCTGACACTGATTAATGGCCAGAGATTCTTCCCACCCTCCCCATCCCAATTCACCCCACCACCGCTCAGAGGATAGAGGATTTGAACCACAGATCTTGGGGTTATAGTGTCCACTTTACTCTCTGAGCAGAGACATGTTCCAGATTAAAACCAATGGGCATTTTGAAATGGGCTGGAGAAATTTCAAACTTAAAAGAGAGAGAGAGGCAAGGGGATTACAGTCAGAATCATCAATCAGTCAGGACATTTCCCTCTGTGATCTGTCTGATTCTTGATTTATCTAGGAACTTTTCCTGGAAAGTAAACCAAAGCAGTTGTTTGTAACTTCTGCGGGACAACCACGAGAGGTTTAGGGAAGTTGTTTAAGATTCTGGAGGAGGACAAATCAGGTTTCTTAGGCACAAATATCTAATTTTCTTAAGTGCACATCTTCTCTCACAGCCTCCCTCCACCCATCTTCACCCTGGAAGCAGCTCCCTGGCTCATTCTTCCTAAGTGAGGGTACGTTTGTCGGTCTTGACTGTCATTTCCCCAGCCTGGGCCGTTATTGCCCAGCACAAGGTGTGGAGGTGCTGGTACACAATGAGTGACAGAGGCTCTTTTGACTTGGGGCTGTTTGTTTTCATTGGGAGGGCTTATTGTGTTTGTCAATGTACTTACCAATTTCTTTTCTCAATACAATAAGTATTAAAAATCACTCAAGCTATTGTGATTTATTTCTTTGTCCTTTCCTTTATCCCTATTGCTTTAACATGGTCTTCATTCCGTTTAAGCAAATTCTTGACAATTTCTTTAGTTTATACAGTGAAACACGCATCATCTTACCCTGGGATACGAAATGTACATGTGAGCACTTCTAATCCATTGTACTGTGGGAATTGGGGGGGAGGTGCTGATCTAACAGTCAATTGCTATAATTTATTAGTCACACACCGCAAATCCCGTCTCTGGAAAATACATTGCAATGTCCCACAGTGCATAATTAACAAATAAAGAGATTTC